TCCTTGGCCGCAGTCTCGGCTCCACTACGGTTACAGACCCCCAAATGAAATTGCCCCCCTGCCACCTCAGATGAGAGCTTGCGCTCGCCGCCTTTCTCAGCCTTTCTCCGTCTCTCCTGCAGCCCTGCTTGTCTGTGGCGCGCGTCGCCAGGCTGCTTTGCTCCTTGGTTTTTTCCACAAACACCACGTCCCCTCTGTGCTCCTCCGTTCCTGCCTCTGTCTGTCTGTGTCCCCCGCTGGCTTTCGGTCTGTGGGCTGTGTGACCTTTCCAGTGTTTCCTTCTGTCAGTACCATTACGGGATGGGTTCTTCATCCATGACATCAGTTTTATAGCAACAGTAATTATTCATGATTAGCAGTGATTCTTAAAGAACACTGGGGCATCTTGGCTCAAGCTCGAAACTGAGGACTAGAGCAGATGCGACAGCCCCAAATTCAGGAGTATTTCTCCTCTGCCTGTGTGACACTTAGTGCAACAGTGACTATTTCTTAGGTTAATCTGAATGTCAGTAGACTATCTTGGACAACAAAGGAGCGTAAATGGCGCTGTCTACACTAGAAAACGCTCTGTGCACAAAGCCTTGTTCTCTGTCACGTGCTGAACGTTGCGCTGTTTCTTTTTCAGTACCAAAGAAATGTCAGAAGGCTCGCGAGCACTTTGGTACAGTGAGAACCCAGCTGGAATCTCTGAAGACCAAGTTTCCCACTGATCAGTATTACAGGTGTGCAGGATCACACGCAGCCGGACGTGGATATGGGCACTGCCGGGGCATATTTGGTGTTTCTACTTTGGAAGAACGATTTAAAGGTTTATGGGCTGAATGCCTCTTTCTGTTTGAAAAGTAAATCGTGGTAGAGAAGTGTGAAGTTATTTATCAGAACAGATAAAAAATGCTTTTGCTCAAACACTGTATTTATAACTTTTCACTAAAAATATCCAATATTTAATTCTTTTTCTAGAGATTTTTTTAAAAAAGAAAAAGTTTAAAAAATTGATGTTCTCTTGGAGCTGCCCTCGTTTCTGGGAGCTGCACGTTTGCTGCTCCGTTCATTTCAGTGAAGTTAGGTATGGGGCATTTCTGAAGACAGCTCTAAATCTGTCATGAAATGGCTGTCTGATACTGCGGGTGCTAGATGAAACTGTCACCTTTGTGTTTTGTTTGCTGCCAGAAGGGGACAGTGTCTAGCAGCAACATTTCAAAGAACGAGAATCAGCTCAGATCTGCTGAGGGAAGCTGGGACGGAAAGCCCTGGTTGTCTTCTGGGCACGACAGCCTGAGAAACTCCGTGAGCCGAGCAGGGGTGTGAGAGCTGCGAGCAGTGCTGGTGTCCAGCGTAGTGTCCTGGGGTGAAGTTCTGGAGATGACTTTAAGCTGGTGTCGCTTCGTTAAGCCAAAAATAGTGCAAAGTGCTATGTGTAAAGGTGGAGAACATAATGTATGCATAATGTGTGCCTGTTGCCTCGTTCTCCAGTAAGAGAGGTTACTTGCTTACACCTTGATTTGGTGCTTTCTTTGACAGATTTCATGAGCACTGGAGGTTTGTGCTTCAGCGGTTGGTGTTTCTGGCAGCGTTCGTAGTCTTCTTGGAGTCCGAAACGTTAGTGACCCGAGAAGCTGTTGCAGAAATACTTGGGAGTAAGTTAGCGTTGTAACTGAAGAGAAACAGCTCGTGACGTTTTCAGACGTTGTATTTTTCAGAGGTACAGGGAAACAGAAGAACTTCCTTTCTTCCCAAGAAATAGGTTCCAAAATGTATCTGGTATTTGATTTCAGCATATAAACAACAAATCATTTTAGAAGGTGGAAATCAGCAAACCTAATGTGAACAAAAGTATGTATTCATTAATAAGTTCTTCAGCAATGAAGATTATTCATTCATATTGCATTAATCTTCCACAAAAGAGTAATACAAAGATGAGAGCTTATTTTCCTCATTTTCTGCTTTTGGTGTTTAAAAAGTGTGGAAAAAAGATTAAATTCTTATGCTGTGAGAGAATTGTGTCCTCCCAGAGCAAAGGATTTTAAAAAAAATCAGGAAAATAGTTTTCTAAAAAATGACTGTGGATCCCTCTGCTATACATTAACGTGAATTCTGTTATTCGGTTGGATCAGGTATAACCTGCTGCACGTCCAGTTGAGGATGTAGGAGATGCTAAATCAAAGCACTGAGAAGAGGCAGTAATTACCTCACGTACAGGAAAAGGCTGACTTCTCTTTTGTGATAATATTTAATAAATTTTATATTTCAAATTAGCTCCGGTAAACAAATGCAATTTCAGCTGGCTGGTTTTGCTCACGTTCAGTACCACCTGATTGCCCTCTGTTTTCCACCGTAGTTGAAGCCGATCGGGAGCGGGGCTTTCACCTGGACATTGAAGACTATCTTTCTGGTGTGTTGACTCTCGCCAGTGAGCTGGTAAGGAACATACTCACGCATATATTTGGATTGAAACAGACCTAAAAAACAAGTGATGTGTTTTCCAACTTTCCCGAGTTGTTCCTGGACATTACGATACGCAACACCTTGGCCCGAACTTCTGGCAAACTGCCTCTCTGTATGCCAGAGTTGTTCCTCACTGGTCCCTGAAGATTTAAACTAGTCCCTTGGTTGAAAATCCAGGATTGTTGTCAACAAAACAGTAGAACCAAGTATAAGTAATCTGACTGCCTGGAACAAAACTTCTTCACTTGGTGAAGTAGCTGGTGGGAATAGTGGCGTGGTTTCGGTGGGTTCCTCCGTTGACGTTCTCCTGCGCGTCTTCCCCTTGTAGGCCAGACTGGCAGTGAACAGCGTCACGGCTGGTGACTATTCTCGCCCTCTCCGCATCTCAACCTTTATCAATGAGCTGGATTCTGGCTTCCGACTGCTCAACCTGAAGAACGACTCCCTGAGGAAACGTTACGACGGCCTGAAATACGACGTCAAGAAAATCGAGGAAGTGGTTTATGACTTGTCGATCAGAGGACTCAATAAGGAGGCAGCAGGTGGTGCTGGTGGGGAGAAGTGAAGGGTGCTGGTGTGAACAGCATCGCTGATTACCTCAGATGGTTGCCAATTGAGGAAGCGTGCTAGAGAAGCCTTCCTACAGTAGTTTAGAAGAACTGCAGCTGAAAGCTGCTCTCTATTTTCTTACAAAAGGTGTAGTACGGGTGTTAGCTCCCCAAATGTTTTGTAAAATCATGTCTAGATTAGAGCAGGAGGTGCTCTGTTTCCAGTGGAATTCCTCTGTCAAAACACACGGTGCCGTTCTGCGCTCAGCAGCGCTGGCAGTCGGTAACGCCCCTGAGCTGGAACCCTCGTTAGGTCTGCAGCGTCGCCTCACTGCCCTGGCAGCGATGTGCTTCACCCCTCCCTGCTCACATCCCCCGCAGACGCCTGCGCAGCTCAGCGCAGATACCTGTGATGTTTTAGGAAACACAGTGTGTAAATTTTTTAAAGACACTGATTTTTTTTTTTTTTTACTTTTTGTTTCTTAAATTTTCATCTGTGTCAGTAAGTTGAAGAGATTTGCATAACTTTATTAACCACATCTTTTTAAATGGCTTCTGTTAAAGTATCCCCCTTTATTGAGAAATTAGTGAAAATATTCCTGAGAATTTCTCCATTGGAACTGGTGTACTGCACCTGGGCACATCTCTCTCTCGGTTTTTTGCTTTCTTCCAAGATCTCTGTTACCAGGGAGAGCAAGGCTTTCTCAGACCTCTGCTTTCACTGGCTGGTGTTTGTTTTACTGACATCAGTAAATGCTGAGTTTTACTATGGTCATTTGCCTTGAGAATTTGGTGTAACCAAGCTTCAATTTTTTTAACTATCAAGGTTTCCGAACAGAGAAGTGTTAATGGATAAACTGCAGGTAGCGTCTGAGTTCTAACAACCTGTATAGGCCACAGCTGTACCCGGGTCCTGGGATTAAAAAAAAAAACCACACCAAAACCATATAAACATGTAGTAAAATGTTTGTATCTTCAGAAGGGGGGAAATCACTGGTTTCAGATACTTCGCACGTGAGATGTTTGCAGACACCAACAGCCTCTTTCACCTGTGTAAATGGAGGGACTCAGACCTCCGAGGGTGTCTGTTGTCTCGTCCTAAATGACTTTGAGTTTTGCCATTCTACTTCTGGTGGTGCAGGAGGGCTAAGGAGAGCTTTACTTCTTTAGGAGGAGGAATATTTCCAGAGGATGAACACGAATAGTCAAGTTTATGTGGGGTTGGTTAGTGTTTCATTTTGTTAGCAGAGATTTCCCACTGTTTCAGTTAGTGTTTGGTTTTGTTTATTGGAAGAAAATGGTTTCTTGGTTATTTTGGCCAATAAAAGCTTTTGTTCTTTGATTTTGGCCATTTGGTAACCCTCCCTGTTGTCTGATTATCTGTTGTTACTTGCTTCGCTTCCCGGGAGCCTACTGTGAAATGTAATTCAAGCTCAGCCTTCAGCTGTACTTGGACAGTGAGCGAATTCCTCGCTTTGGCTGCAGGCTGTTCAGTGGCGCACACTCACCCGCTGGCGAGTGGAGCCTCGGTCAAGCTGCAAACAGATCTGGTAGGTAGTTGGTTTTTGTCATTTTTACTGTGTGAGACAGGTCCAAATTAAAAGTAAAACAGGAGAGGTATGGATGAGTTTATCATTACCAAATCCAAGATGTGGCAAGATTCATTTTCAGAGCATCTCATGATCTTCCGTGTTTGTCCTCATCGCCTGTATCTTGCGTCAGGTAACGCAGGGAGATGGTAAGATCCCTCTTTCACAGCTGAAGAAAGGAGGGTGTAACTCCCTGAGCCCCACGGCGATGAGACCAGCTGTCAGAGCAGGGCTTTGTTCCTGCCCCATGCCACTGTTTGCGTCTTCTTCACTTTAACCCTGTGGAGGTGGGAGGAAGGAAGACGTTTAAGCCAGTTCTGCTGCCAAAGCCAGAGGCTTGGGGTGAAGCAACACCCTCGGGCTCTGAGACACAGCCGTGCAGAGCAAGGTCACGCAGGAAACATGTGGGAGCAGGGAATTAGAGGAAGGTTTTCTGAGCGTCAGCCTGATGTCTCTCGGGTTGGAGGACTCCTGGCATGCGAGGCCACGTGGCGGGGCAGGTTTCTGGTTGCGTGGTGGGTGTTTGTTAAGGCTCTGCGCTGGCTTGTGTCCCGGGTGCTGCGGTTGCACTCGGTCACGCAAAAGGTCTGTGTCCTGACACGAGATCCCATCTGCCTAACGCAGCTTTTAGTAGATCCTCAGTCTGCCAGCTCCTGCATCTTGCATGGTTTCTGAGAGCTGGTGGAGATACCACAGCAGTGTGCCAGAGGTGCAGATACTGTGGAGGGACAACTGGAAGAGCAGGTCTCTTCCTTAGGGCTTACAAAGGCTGCAAGGTGTGGGGTGCTTCTGCCTAAAGCTCTGCGAAGAGCAAGTGCCTGAGGAAGAGATGCTCTGGTGCTGGGCTCCTGGAGGGCGTTCAGCAGCACCTTGTTCTTTCCCGTTCCTGTGTTTGGGAGAGCCTAGAGCCAGGCTGCGTAGTGCATACCCAAGCCAGGTCTGGGGAAGGGAAAAGAAAGCCACAAACGTTCTTCCCAGGCTGCAGCAGGGAACACCAGGGACATGCTTTTGGCTTCCTCTGCGCAGAGGTAGCCTGTAAGACCTTGAGGCCTTGACTGTGAATCTGCACATTACTCTGGTCTTAAATCACAGAATCACAGAATGGTAGGGGTTGGAAGGGACCTCTGTGGGTCATCTAGTCCAACCCCCCT